ATTTAATCACCTCTGGGTTTTTTATTTTTTCTTAAACAAAACAAAAACCAATGAAAATGTTGAAAAAAAAAGTTTTTTTTTTTTAGTTTTTGTTATAAAATTTTGTAAATAAGTGATTTTTCTCCTTCACTGATGTGCGCTAATGAGGCTGCAGTGATGGTCACTGATTGGCTGCACTGATGGACACTGATGGGCATTGACAGGCATCACTGATGGGCACTGAAAGGCAGCACTCATATATGGCACTGATAGGTGGCACTGATAGGCACTGTTAGGTGGCACTAACTGGCACTGTTAGGCGGCACTGATGGGCAGCACTGACGGGCACTGATAGGCGACACTGATGCACACTGATAGGCGGAACTGACTGGCACTGATAGGTGGCACTGATAGGTGGCACTGACTGGCATTGATAGGTAGCACTGACTGGCACTGATGGGTGAAACTGAAAGGCAGCTCAGATGGGCACTGATATGTGGCATTGATGGGCACTGAAATGTGGCACTGGCAGGTGGCATGGATGAGCACTGAGAGCTGGCACTGATGGACACTGACAGGTGGTGCTGCTGGGGCTACACAGATCATCAGGGCACACTGATCAACAGTGCTCTGATGATCTGTGTACATGTCCCCTCCAAGAAATGCTGATTACCGGCTCTCCTCACGAGCTGTCAGTGTGACAGCTCATGGGGAGAGAAATGCAGATAACTGGCATTTCCCTGTTTACATGTGATCAGCTGTGATTGGACACAGCTGATCACATGACCGAGCTGACATCCTCGGCTCTTTCTGTGGATCGGTGATCCGTTGTGTCCGAGGGACACAGTGCACCACCGATCTCCGTGCTGCGCACTCCAGGAGCCGTGCATGCGCGGTGAGAATGGGAGGACGTCATATGATGTCTCCCAGAACGAGAGAACCACCTTGTGTCCTTTATATTAATAATTGAGTTTCTTCAGCATAAAATGGAGCTTAGTTATGTAGCACGAGGCTGTATATTCTGCAATATTTACATTTTTGGTAAACTCATGCAATGAATTCAAGCTCTGCAAGATGAGAGAACATGCACTGCATCGATGCATTCACACAGTTTCACAGTAACCATGAGAAAAAACATGAAATAAAAGAATTTGAGTCATTCTCCAGATGTGTGATTAACCTATTGACCTAAAATCGCTTCTGATATCGCTGTTTTACTAACCTGACACCTTATTATTCTAAAAAGGAAACCTTCATTTGGTTTGCAAATATTAAAGATTCTAACTACCAGCAAGAATGAGTCGAATTCCTTACATTTAAAGAGCACCTGTCATTTTAGATCCATCCTGGCAGAGCCTGTTAGTGGACATCCACTCCCCTGCTGCCGCCACGTCCCTCACCTTGTTGTGTCACTGCTGCATCACCAGCCGTCCCATTAAAGTGAATGGGACTGTCGGTGAGTCAACAGCGGGTCAGATGAGGAGCCGCTGCAGGACAGAGATGACAGCTGCTCTTTAAAATTATGATTTAAGACGAGCCTTTTCACTAGTGATTTAAATCAAATTCACCCTGAGGGGGACAATTCAAAAAGTAGCCGACCCTTATTGGAGGGTCTAAAAAGGGGGGTGCACAGAGGTTATGTGATCACTGTCAGTGCAGGTACAGCACAAAGCCGACAAGGACTGCAGCTGCAAGTTATTGCTATGTTCTGGTGTGCAGATTGTCAATAATAGTGTGTGAAGAGAGCGAACCGCACATGAGAGGGAAAGGGCTTGGTGCACACGCTGGCTTCTCCCTTGTGCTGATATTAGTAATGTCGCAGCTAAGAAAAAGAAAGGTGATGAGAAAATAAATAGCAGTTTGGGCAAAAACAGTGCCTTACCCCAGGAGGAACCATTGTGCATAGCCTGAGGACTGAATAAAAAGGAAGGTTCCCCCCATCGCCCAAACACAATGCCCAGGTTGCTGTAACCTCCTCAGTATACAAAGTCCAAGTACAATATAAGAAGGGTCCTCTGTCTCCTCCACACACTACCCAGCCAGCTGCAGCAGCCCCTGTATAACGTACCAGGCACACATAGCCTCAGGTACAACAAATACGTCTTCAGACAGAAACAGACAAACACTGCACTCTGTGCCTGGAACACAGACAAGGTTCTTTATTGCCGACTATAGGATCATCATAGAGGGAACACCAGTGCGCTTAATGGAATGAACTGGAAAAACCTGTGCTCATTAGCTAAGGGAGAGACTTTTAGGATGTTCACTATGCTGCCTGAACCAGGGGCGGACCGACAACTCATGGGGCCCCCGGGCAATAGGGGATCATGAGGCCCCCGGGCAATAGGGGATCATGGGGCCCCTGTGTCCTTGCCAAAACTCAAAAAAGGCCTATGAAAAAGGTACCAGGGGCATCTCATGGGGACCCCTACTGACCCCAGGACCCTCGGGCAGTGCCGAGTTTCCAAATGATGGTCAGTCCGCCCCTGGCCTGAACCCAGCAGTGACAGCTGATTGTCAAAAACATATAGCAGAAGGGAACATCAATTCTTCCAAGGACACAAAGTGAAACTGGACAGGATTGGAAAGGGAAGGATTAGAGCCTCTAGAGCAGGGGTGTCAAACTGTGGCCCTCCAGCTGTCATGGAACTACAGATCCCATGAGGCACTGCAAGGCTGACAGTTACAAGTATGACTTCTAAAAACAGAGGCATGATGGGATTTGTAGTTCTTCAACAGCTGGAGGGCCACAGTTTGCGACCTGTGCTCTAGAGGCTGGCCTCAAGTTTGTGTCTACTGTCCATTTTTCCCATAGACAGCAGTATAATCCTAGACTGCTCACAGTACAGCTGTATTCATTTTAGGTTAGGTTCATATCTGTGCAGGTGGTTCCCGCTGTGGGTCTGCACCTGCTCTGCAGTCACAACTACCCACACAGAAAAACGCACTGGATGCACGTGGGTTGCCATTAATCCTAAAGGCATGACCAACACACTGGAAATCGCTCCCGCACTGCACTTACGGTTCCCTTACGGGCTGCAATTTCTAAAATGCTGCAGGGACCTTTTCCCTGCATTTCAGGAAACATGGTAGTCAAATGAATGGGCTGCCGTGCTTTTAGCAGTTTGTATTTACTAAAATAATTGCATTTCCATGTTCTGTGTACTGTGGGAGACCAGATATAGTGAACACAGTGTCCTGGGTTTAGTAACACTTTAAGTGTGTCTAAATAGTACCCTGAAAATCTATATTCCTCCTGAAAAATAAAAGTGTTCTTTTGGGTAGATATGTGTGTGCCTACAAAGCTGTGGTGAGAGGCCCTGCTCCCTCTGAATGATCGTCTCATGGGATTTGGCATGCGATCTGGTAATGGCACTACTGTGTGGTTCACTGTTCCACTTGCTAAACGTTCTGACAAGAGTCAGCAAAACCTACCTCTTCCAAGATGGCTGCCTCCACATAAAGACAGTGCAGAACATAGTAATGCAATACCAGTACCTAGTCCTTTGCCCCATGCCTGCCTTTTTTAGGCACAGCTTCCAGACTTTGGTTCCTGTTTGAGAATTGCCTTGGTTTATTGCAGCTCAGAGATTACTCCTTTCTCTAGAGAGTTATGTCTATTTCTCCTTTATTGTAATAATCCTCTGCTTTGTTTAACCATTTATCTACATGGGCCGGACGGGAGCGTTGTCGAAGCGGGTGGACGTTTCTAAACGGCCTCCTGCTTCCATTGCCTGTGCGAGTTCCCTGGGAGAACACAGATCGCTGTACGGGACCCTCTGTGTGAGGTCCCGATTCATGTGATCACATGAATAGTAGTAAACAAGATGTCACTTCCTGGCATCATTGCTTACTACTTGTGAAATCTGTGAATGATCACAGAGATCACATGGTACAAGGCTATTCACAACAGCCTTGTACCATGTGACAAGCTGTGACCAATCACAGCTCGCACAGTATTTCTAAATGGCTGCAAGAATGCAGTCAGAGAGGAGAAATGATTGCTTTTACAGCCTTTGGGTGTAAAAGCAATCAGTGTAAAAAAAGAAAAAAAAAATATTCATCACACCCCCCCACAAGTAGTACAGTGTCACTATGGTGACACTGTATACTGCTAGGGTGACAGAATGTTAAAAAAAAAAAAAAACAACCCATAAATAATAATATAAAAAAAATAAAAATGTAAAACAAATTTTTGAAAAAATTATACTTTTTGGTTATAAACTAATTTGGGTTATTTATTTTTTTTTTACTAAAAAGATAGCTGAATAAATTTTGGCCAAGATTTATAAAGAAAGATAATTTTTTTGCAAAATTTTAGAAGAAAAACACTTTATTTTTTGAAAATTTTTGGACTTTTTAATTTATATAGCAAAAAATTAAAAATCCCAGTGGTGAATAAATACCACCAAAATAAAGTTTTATCGGTCTCCAAAAAATGCTAAAAAAAATTCATATTGGTACAGTGTTGCATGACCGCGCAATTGTCATTCAACGTGCGGACTTGAAGTGTCCGGACTTGAAGTGGTTAAAACCGTTACAGTTGCCCTGCCACCTTACGAAAAGTGCCCATAATGCCTAATAACTACAAAGAGGAAAGTGAATATTTTTCCCTGCCACCTGCATTGCTGAACACGGCTCCAGTGATGAGAAATCGCAGGCTAAAGTCTTCTTTGGAAACCGTTACTATCAAGCATATGATTTCACTTTGACAGAGAAGTGTTCAGTGGTGTGGGGGGCAGGGGAGGTAAGTAATCACTTACTTCTTTACAATTAACAGGCATTAGTGACAATTTCAGAAAGGTGAAGGGATGAAACATATGATCACCTTTTGTACCACCTCCCCCTTCCTTTAGATTGTAAGCTCCACGAGCCGGGCCCTCCTATTCCTTCTGTACTGAAATGTATTGTAATTGTATTGTCTCCCTTTATATTGTAAAGCGCTGCGCAAACTGTTGGCGCTATATAAATCCTGTATAATAATAATAATATGTAACATTGGACTAAAAATCTTCACTTACCTTGGAGGCAAACTTTCCATCCCGGAAAAATGGGGTCAAATATTTCACCACAATGTCAGCCGTCTCTTTAAGAGTCACCACCTTATTCCCAGGTGGCTGTAATATTTTAGAGGTGCCTTCCTTGTCTTCATGGCAGAGATTTGGGTCAAAAGTCACTTTCTTTTTGCCACAGCCACTGTTGCTTTTCACTGGATGGGACAAAATGGAGCAGGATTTTTCTTCTATTCTTGGCCTCTTTCTGGTAGGCTCGTCAGACTCCTGGCCAAAGAATTCAAATGATACTTGTTTATAGGTATGTAATACATCAGAGAATAACGATCGTCTCATAGAAAAAAACTAAATCTCACCTCCTCTTCTGATGCCTTCTTCTCTACCTCATGATGGCTGTAGATAAAAAAAAGTAAAAATAAATAAAATCACAAGTTCAAATTATATCTAAACAGCCAATGCCTCAACAAAGGTGTAGAAAATGTTTTTTTAAAAGAAGCAGAAATAAAAGTATTTGTTACACATAGCACACATAAAGTACGTGTCATACACAGAGGCCACTCACTAGGTTTGGTTTGCATCTAGGTTACCAGTCACCCATTATGGCTATATTGGTACTGGAAACAGATAACATGGCTACTGTCATCACAACACACATGGGAGCTGATTTACTAAAACTGCAGAGAGCAAAATCTGGTGCAGCTCTAAACTGAAACCAATCAGCTTCCAGGTTTTATTGTCAAAGTTTAACTGAACAAGCTGATGTTAGAAGCCGATTGGCTACCATGAACAGCTGTACCAGATTTTCAGTAAATCCCCCACTGTCTCTGAAAGAATGTTGTTCCTTTAATCCTTGCATTACCAAAGGTCACTGATGGTTAGATATCCAAGAGAAATTCAGACGATTCAGCATGCGTAGTTTATTTTAAGTGATGCACCGTTATATTGGCCGCCGAAAATTATCAGGCAAAAATAGGGTTTATTGGTGTTTTGCTGCTACAAAAAAACAAAAGGTGCCGATAATTGACTTCAATAACTTCAATGCAAAATCACATCTCATTGATTTCAAAGCAAAATTGCACCCCATTGACTTCAATGCAAAAACGTCTCCTACTGACGTCAATATAAAATCACGTTCCACTGACTTCAATGCAAAATCGCGTTCCACTGACTTCAATGCAAAATCGCGTTCCACTGACTTCAATGCAAAATCGCGTTCCACTGACTTCAATGCAAAATCGCGTTCCACTGACTTCAATGCAAAATCGCGTTCCACTGACTTCAATGCAAAATCGCGTTCCACTGACTTCAATGCAAAATCGCGTTCCACTGACTTCAATGCAAAATCGCGTTCCACTGACTTCAATGCTAAATCGCGTTCCACTGACTTCAATGCTAAATCGCGTTCCACTGACTTCAATGCTAAATCGCGTTCCACTGACTTCAATGCTAAATCGCGTTCCACTGACTTCAATGCTAAATCGCGTCCCACTGACTTCAATGCTAAATCGCGTCCCATTGACTTCAATGCTAAATCGCTTTCCATTGACTTCAATGCTAAATCGCGTCCCATTGACTTCAATGCTAAATCGCGTCCCATTGACTTCAATGCTAAATCGCGTCCCATTGACTTCAATGCTAAATCGCGTCCCATTGACTTCAATGCTAAATCGCGTCCCATTGACTTCAATGCTAAATCGCGTCCCATTGACTTCAATGCTAAATCGCGTCCCATTGACTTCAATGCTAAATCGCGTCCCCTTGACTTCAATGCTAAATCACGTCCCATTGACTTCAATGCTAAATCGCATCCCATTGACTTCAATGCTGAATCGCATCCCATTGAACTCAATGCAAAAATACCCCCTACTCACTTCAATGCAAAATTGCATTCCATTGACTTCAATGCAAAATCGTGTCCCATTGACTTCAATGCAAAATCGTGTCCCATTGACTTCAATGCAAAATCGCGTCCCATTGACTTCAATGCAAAATCGCGTCCCATTGACTTCAATGCAAAATCGCGTCCCATTGACTTCAATGCAAAATCGTGTCCCATTGACTTCATTGCAAAATTGGGCCCCATTGACTTCAATGCAAAATCGCGTCCCATCGACTTCAATGCGAAATTGAGCCTCATTGACTTCAATGCAAAATAGCGTCCCATTAACTTCAGTGCAAAATCAAGTCCCATTGAACTCAATGTAAAAATACCCCCAACTGACTTCAATGCAAAATTGCATTCCATTAACTTCAATGCAAAATAGTGTCCCATTGACTTCAATACTAAATTGTGCCCCAATGACTTCAAAGCAAAAAATGCCTCCTATTGACATCAATGCAAAAACGCCTCTAAGTTTTTTAATTTTATATTAAATATTTTTTAAATTCATATTCATTTAAATTCGTGATTTGAATTAAGAAGTCGAATATAATACAATTATATATTAAAAAAATATTGCTTTAAAAAAACTGTCCATTTCGGTTTTGATTTTTGGCCAAGTGCATCCTGAATTTTCGGTTTTGGTCCTGAATTTTCATTTTGGTGCGCCGCTAGTTATGTTGACAATATTTAAATGATGTGCATATCAAAATAATGTTCTATTTCTAAGGACATATATATGATTAGACAGGAGGAGATGTGGCTGCAGGACGGCAGAGGAGAACTCCGCTCCTACTCCATCTGTTTACTGTTCTGACAGATTGCAGTGATATCAGCAAACGGGATTTCTGCTAACAATACATTCGTTAGGCCATATCAGTGCATATGTGCACCTTCTCCTTTATTTAACCACTTCAATACCGGGCACTTCTACCCCCTTCCTGCCCAGGCCAACTTTCAGCTTTCAGTGTTATCGCACTTTGAATGACAATTGCGCAGTCATGCAACACTGTACCCATAAATTTTTTTCATTTTTTTTCACACAAACAGAGCTTTCTTTTGGTGGTATTTAATCACCACTGAGTTTATTATTTTTTGCTAAACTGAAACTTTTGAAAAAAAACTATTTTTCTTTGTTTTTGTTATAAAATTTTGCAAATAAATAACATTTCTTCAAAAAATTAGGTCAAAATGTATTCTGCTACATTTATTTGGTGAAAATACCCCAAATTAGTGTATATTATTTAGTCTGTAGGAAAGTTATAGAGTCCACAAACCATGGTATATATATCTGACAATTGAGCAATCAATGTACTGACAGCCAATCTAATATATTGAGACCAAAAAATGCCAGCATAGTACAAATAGCCCCCAAATTACCCATTTTTTGAAAAATAGACAGTCCAAGGTATTTAGTAGGAGGCATGGTGAGTTTTTCAAAATTTTTTTGGAAAATGTAGAAATTAAAAAAAAAAAAAAAATCAGATTTTTTTTTTTTTTACATATTGTCACCAGTCAAGTACAGCGTGATCATATAACTGGCGGTGCGGTGATCAGGGACACTGACTGGTGACAGTATGTAAAAAAAAAAAACTATTTTTTTAATTTTTTTTTTTTTATTACATTATTTTTTCTTTTTTTTACTATTTGTTTTTCAACACACTGTGACCAAAGCAATACAATACAAAGCAACATTCAACTACTCTGGGCAAGTGATCAGGATTGTAACCAGGGCATACAGTCACCAGTCCAGTATAGCGTGATTATATAACTGGTGGTGCGGTGATCAGAATCACTGACTAGTGACAGTATGTAAAAAAAATAAATAAATAAATAATTTATTTATCTTTTTCACATTTTTTATTATATTATTTTTTCTTTTTTTTTTTCAACACACTGTGAACAAAGCAATACAATGTTACCATAGTAACACTGAACTACTCTGGGCAAGTGATCAGGATTTTGTTTTGTACACATTATGATTGCTAATACCAATGTATTTAATTGATATTTGCAATCATTGTTAGTGAATGAAACTGATTCAGTCAGTCTTTTGTCGTGATCCCTCCCTCTTAGATTGTAAGCTCCCAGGATCAGGCCCTCCTAACCCTCTTGTATTGAACTGTATTGTTGCTGTACTGTCTCCCGTTATATTGTAAAGCGCTGAGCAAACTGTTGGCACTATATAGATCCTGTATAATAATAATTAGCTGTGATTGGGCAAAGCTCATCACATGATACAGATGGGCTGTGAATAGCCCTGTCTGTACCATGTGACTGCTTTGATCAACCACAGCTAGCCAATCAATTGTATACAATGAATGGCATGACAGGAAGCCATCCATTGTTTACAATCGACGTGATCTGCTGTGATTGGTCACAGCGGTCACATGACACTGGCAACGGGCACACAGCTGGTGACACAGCTGGTGACAGGCTGCGTGGCCACGTGCATGGCTGCTTTTGACAGGACGTCCTGTTATAACAGCGAGTGTCTCGCCCGGCTGTCAATCTGCTATAGGCCGGGTGGGAAGGTGTTAAAGCTGGCCATACATGGATGGAAATTCGTCCGGTTCACCAGGGACCAGTCATGTTTTGATCCATGTATGGGCAGGGTGGATGTATGTACAGGTGGGAGGATTCCCACATCCACATCTGTGGATGGGGAAATCGAGTCCTTTTTTTTTTTTTTTTTCAATTCAACCTGCTGACTCAATGAGAAAACAATGAATCATTCATGGGCTGCCTCAATCTGTAGATTCTACATTAACACATTCATTTGCCAGACAATTAATTATGCTTACCTAGAATTGCTGTGACCTTTACTGGAATTCACAGACTCCTTCAATCTTTCCTGGCATGAAGCATCAGTAGATAGTTTCTGGCTTTGTGGTGGACATAGAGCCGAGGAATCCTCAATGCTTGTTTTAGAGATATACATATGTTGGAGATGATCTGAAACTTCCATACTGGCTGAACGATGTACAAATAAAGTGCTAGACTGGCCTTTTGTCTCCAATGACCGTTCAGTTTTAGAGTTCTGTAACAGAATATTTGTTCCCGGGATCGGGACAGTTGGGTTCTCTGAACTGTCAGCAGCTGGTAAACGTCTGACATTTTCTTCCCCACTGCTCTGCTCCTCTTTCAATACATCTGATGTAATAAAAGAGTCCACGTTTTCAGTGAGGACACTGGTAGAGGTGCTTTCACCTACAGTAGCGCTGTCACTTTTTGACATTTTTGAGACATTAGATTTACCCTGAGAAGAAAAAAACTTGGAGATGTTTTGCGAGTCTTTGGCTGCTGCAGAGACCAACTCTTGCTTCTTCTTACTAAGACGGGGCTTTTTGCTTGGACTGTTTACATTTTTACTGGTACCTGCAGAGTTTACAAGAAGTGGATTAGCATTGCTGGGGTCGGACTCTTCTATGGTGTCATGATTAGTCTGTGGTGGCTCAACGGCTGGCTTTGTGTTTTGCAGCAAGCTGGATGCACTCTGGAATAAAGATGGTGCACCCACTCTTTTTCGTTTAAACTGTATAGGAGAAAAATAACACAAGCAATAAGTCTCCAGTGAGGCAAGAATATCATTTATATTAAGCCCACTCAAATTCACACAAATAGATGCAGTCAAATAGAATGGTACTAACTGGAGTGCGACCTTTAGGTGCTCATTCACGTTGTGGTATACTATGAGAAATGTATTTTATTATGGTCGGCTCTGACTATTGTTTCTCCCATAACTGTCTGTATGGAATTTATTTAACCACTTGCCCTCCAGAGGATTTCCCCTCCTTCCTGACCAGGTCATTTTTTGCGTTATGACGCTGTGTTACTTTAACTGGCGGTCATGCAACGCCGCACACAGATGAAATTTACGTCCTTTTTTCCCACGAATTGAGCTTTCTTTTGGTGGTATTTGATCCCCTGTGCGTTTTTAATTTTTTGCGCTATAAGCAAAAAAAGACCTACAATTTTGAGGAAAAAAAAAACTATATTTTGGACTTTTTGCTATTAAACATGTCCAGTAAAAAAATAAAAATCTCGTCATAAATTTAGGCCAAAATGTATTCTGCTACATGTCTTTGCTACAAAAAAATCCCAATACATGTTATGTGAAAGTTATAGCGTTTACAAATGGCGGTATAGATACTGGGATTTTTTTTTTCCTACTAGTAATGGCAGCGATCAGCGACTTTTATTTGGGACTGCGGCAAGCATTCTGACACTAGCGAACTAACTTGGTGTCACCGACATCCCCAGTAACACCAATACAGTGATCTGTGCTAAAAAAAAACAGCACTGACACTGTACTAATGACACTGGGCAGGAAGGGTAATGTGAGAGGAGATCAATGGGTAACTGTGTGCAGGGAGTGTTTTACTAGAGGGGGGGTGGTGTGCTTCACTGTGAGCACACTGCTGGAGATAGCTGTGCTGTGCACACCATCCCGAGCAGTGTGCCCGAGCTGACAGGGAGGAAGACTGTTTGTAAACAAAACAGTCTTCCTCCCCGTCGGTGACTGTCAATAATCACCAGGCGTCGGCAGTTAATCACCAGCAGGGACCTGGTGATTGACTTTTGCGGCCGAGAATGGCGGTGCGGGTAGGGTTCACACGCGCGCCCCCTACCCGGAAATGCAAAAATCCCGTATATATATATGTGTGGTTGTGTGTGTGATTTTGTGCACCCATGCCGTAGCAGTATATTTTGCTATACGGTGGCGGGTAAACGGTTAAATAAAGAATATATAAAAAAAACTAAAGAAATTGTACTAATAACCTCCATTTGCAACAGTGCATTCAAAATCCATCACTTAAGTCAGACTAGGTTCACGAATATTCTGGTTTCCCTATGGCTGCGTTTACGCGGGTACAGCAGCTTATTCATTTCAATGGGCTGCTGTACCTGTAGGAAGCGCAGGGAAACGGCATAGTGCTATGCACTTCCCAGCACAGGAAAATGTGCTGTGGTTTCCAATGTGTGGGGATGCCATTAGGAATTATTGGAACCCCTGCACATCTGCTTACAGCAGCGTGTTTTTATTTATTTAGTACAGGTACTTCTATAGCGCCGTCAATTTACGCAGCGCTTTACATACAGTCATGGCCGAAATTGTTGGCTAACCCTTGATATTTTTCCTGAAAATCAAGTATTTCAACACACAAAAAACGGGTATTGCATTCAAAACCTACAGCATGTTTTGCTATACACATGTTTATTCCCTTTGTATGTATTGGAACAAATATAAAACAGAGGCAGAAAAACTCCAAATATGACATAATGTCACACAAAACCCCAAAAATGGGCTGACAAAAGTATTGGCACCCTTAACTTAATATTTGGATTTGCACACCCTTTGGAAAACATAACTGAAATCAGTCCACTTCCTTAACCATCAATAAGTCTTTGACACCTATTGGCTATTGCACAGCTCTGCCCGGAGAATTTTGGACACACTCTTCCTTTGCAAACAGCTCCAGTCTCTCTTATTGGAGAGGACAACCCATTTCCCAACAGCAATTTTAAGATCTCTCCACAGTGTTTCAATGGGATTTAGATCTGGGCTCATTGCTGGCCACTTCAGAACTCTCCAGCGCTTCTTTGCCATCCATTTCTGAGTGCTTTTTGACGTATGAAATTTTGGGGTCATTGTCCTGCTGGAAGACCCAGGATCTTGGACGCAAACCCAGCTTTCTGACACTGGGGCCCTACAGTGCGACCCAAAATCCTTTGGTAATCCTCAGATTTCATGATGCCTTGCACACAGTCAAGGCACCCAGTGCCAGAGGCAGCAAAACAGCGACCCCAAAACATCATTGAACCCTCCACCATATTTTTTACCGTAGGGTACTGTGTTTTGTTCTTTGTAGGCCTCATTTTCCGTTTTCGGTAAACAGTAGAATGATGTGCTTTACCGAAAAGCTCTATCTTGGTCTCATCTGTCCACAAGACGTTTTCCCAAGAAGGCATTTTTTTGGCTTACTCAAGTACTTTTTGGCAAACTGTAGTCTTGCCTTTTTTATGTCTCTGTGTTCAGCAGTGGGGTCCTCCTGGGTCTCCTGCCATAGCGTTTCATTTCATTTAAATGTCGACGGATAGTTCGCGCTGACACTGATGCTGCTCCCTGAGCCTGCAGGACAGCTTGAATGTCTTTGGAACAGTACTTGTGACCTGTCTTTTGGGGCTGCTTATATCCACCATCCGGACTATTCTGCGTTGCAATCTTTCATCAATTTTCCTCATCCGTCCACGACCAGGGAGATGTAGCTACAGTGCCATGGGTTGCAAACCTTCTTGATAATGTTGCGCACTGTGGGACAAAGGCAAATCTAGTTCTCTGGAGATGGACTTGTAACCTTGAGATTGTTGATATTTTTGCCACAATTTTGGTTTCTCAAGGAATTCCCTCAACAGATTTCTCGTCTCCTCTTTCTGTTGTCCATGCTTAGTGTGGCACAGACAGACACACAATGCAAAGGTTAAGTGAACGTCTCTCCATTTTAATCTGCTTTCAGGTGTGATTTCTATATTGCCCACAAAAACCTGTTATACTTGCCCCAGGTGAGTTTACAGGAGCATCACATGCTTGTAAACATTCTTATTTATCCGCAGTTGTGAAAGGGTGCCAATACTTTTGTCCAGCCCATTTTTGGAGGTTTGTGTGACATTATGTCGAATATTGCTTTCTTTAGTCTCCTCCCTAGTTTTTTGTTTTGGTCCCAATACACACAAAGGGAATAAAACATGTGTATAGCAAAACATGTGATTAAAGCAATACGTTTCGTGAGAAATACATGATTTCCTGGAGAAATATCAAGTGGGCTGCCAACAATTTCGGCCATGACTGTATATATGTGTACATTCACATCATCCCTAACCCTCAAGGGTCATACAATCTAAGGGCCCTAACTCACATTCATACATACACATACTACGGCCAGTTTTTTTTACACAGGATTCAATTAACCTACCAGCAAGTCTTCGGAGTGTGGGAGGTAACCGGAGTACCCGGAGGAAACCCACGCAGGCACAGGGAGAACAAGCAAACTCTAGGCAGGTGGTGCCATGTATGGGATTCGAACCAACGACCCCAGCGCTGCCAGGTGGAAGTGTTAAACATTTAGCGTTTTTGCTTCACGCGCATTTTGAGGAAAGCGTGCGATTTACATGCAGTTTTCCGCACCCAGATAAGCGTGAACCAAGCCTAACAGGACTTTTCAAGCACACTGTCCACTTTCTCTGCAATGCAAGTCTGCTTGACAAGGTGTATGGCTATTGCACAGCTCTGCAGTGGAATGGAGAAAGAACTTAAAGTAGTATTAAACCCAAAAACAAAAAGTTTACCAAATTGCAGAGACAACCCATTTACCACGGACAGAGGTGCTTTTATTCATTCATGTAAACCTTTCTCCCAAAACGAGAAAACAAAGAAAAGTTTGCTATAAATGCCTATAAAGTGTTAGCTGGAATTCAGCTTCAATTTGTTAGTCATGTCCATCTAACTCTTCTAGCAAAAATGCTACTAGAAGTATTTAGGCAAAGGCTAAAAAGAAATCAAGAGACGGCCATTGCTAAGACACAGCGACAGTCCAAGCAACAAAGCAACTCTACTTGAGAACTTGTGGTCAGGAGGAAGGCAGAGGTTTGCAGCAGTTACCCAGTGAGCTGAGAATGGGAAAGGGCAATGTAAACTGGATAAGGAGTGCAACCTCTATGCTTTGTGGGAGTGAGGCCATCCCACTGTGTGATTGGGCAGTTAGGCCAGATTTTGGAGGAAACAAGCACATTAAGAAGCCAGGTGTGTGCTTCCTTCATATCGGAGTTGGGATCAGTGCTCAGTGCAACCCGCCCAAGGCTACATCTGACAGGTGACAAGTACCGTTTGAACTGTCAAGGAACTGCCCCATGCTCACGGGAAGCAGTTACTTGACAGTTCAAACAGTACTTGTGACCTGTCAGATGTAGCCTTCTGGCATTACAGGGTCCGTGTCTCCGACTCACGCGCAGATAGCCTTTGTGATCCTGGGTTCGGATATCGCCAGGTGGATACGGTGTCTTTCCGTGGTCAGACAGAGCATCGCTCTCTTTCCCAGTCTCACATCGCTTCCTCCGTTGCAGCGAGGGCCGCACATGTGCAGGTCAGGTCAGTGCTGCATGCACCTCTTTCACTGTTACCTTAAGCCCTGGTTCACACTGATGTGGTGCGGAATTCGCTTCGGTTTCTGTGCGAATTCCGCACCACATCAGATTTGCACCCCATTCATGCGAACCACTGCAGGTGTGTATGTTAGGTTAACAACACCCCGAAAGCGGCCCGCAAAACGCGGTGCGATGTGCAGAATCGGATCGCATAGGTGTGAATACCCATGCAATCCAATTCTAGTGCGGACCACAAAAAGGGTCCTGCGTGTATTTGGTGAGGGTGTGATTTGCACATGAATGTGGTGCGGTTCCTATGCAAATCAAATGCGATGTACTGCACCGCATATATGTGAACCCAAGCTCAATGTGTGGCTTTCACTATTTGCAGACAGTATGCCATTATGTGGACATTACCTTATCAAGTCTCTCCCTAGTCTCTTACATCTGGGCCCATACTGTTCAGAGTATGACAGCTTCAAATCATCAGCAGGACCCTCCTTACTACATAATGGATTCAAGGGCTATTGTATGCATGTGCTCTGTATCACAAAAGCCATTCATTGCGCTGCATGTGGGCTAAGCTAACTGCCATAATATATGTGTTGGCTTGATATTGTCATCAGCTAACAGCAGTGTGTCAAGCACTTCTACCCAGCTCTTTATCCTGCTCCTGTCATTCTCAAGCTTTTTCCTTTGCTTCACTGGCTACATTATATCAGTTGTTTTGCATTTATGTCAGATAGGTTTATACAGTGTTGCAAAAGAGCTGTGATCCCCAGCATTAGGTCCTACATCTCTCTTCAAGTTGATACATTGTTTAATCTTTTTATGCTCAGTTTTTGGATGGAGGTTTATAATATAGGACCTGATATAACTGCGGGTCAGACATCGCTCTTAAGTCACTTTCAGTCCGGACTCTGGTTTTAGTTGACAATGTTGTCAAACTTTTAATGGTGATGGGTGGAGGTGTATATTTTTGTACTGAAAATCTTTCATTTTGTTGATTTTTTTTTTCATGGTTATGCAATAATATTTGTTACTTGGATTACTACAGTTAGCTTCTTTTTTTAGGGCTTCTTTCCCTTTATTCTGTCTCACTGACCTGTCCAGGTCAGGACAGTTTGAGGCATGAGCAGAAGCGGACTGACAACTCATGGGGCCCCCAGGCAATATGGGATCATGGGGCCCCTGTGTCCTTGCCCAAACTCAAAAAAGCCTATGAAAAAGGTACCAGGGGCATCTCATGGGGCCCCCTACTGACCCCGGGCCCTCGGGCAGTGCCCGAGTTTCCAAATGGTCAGTCCACCCCTGGGCATGAGCCTCTGAATATGAGAGAACGTCCATGAGGGACAGAGGAGCTGGGACGCTGCTTAAGGCTAGGTTCCCACCTATGCAGGTTGCATTTGAGCTGTTTCTGTATTGCATTTTTGCCACGTTTTACTTTTTTTTTATTCTTTTTTTTTTTCTTGTTGCTAGGCAGATTTAAAACGCAAAATGCATCAAAAACACATGAACTCTTCAAAAACACAGCAAAAATGCACTACATGCTTTTCTGCAGCGATTCCATTGAAGTCTATAGAACCAAAAATGAAACTTTTTGCGTTAAAAAAAGTCCCTAACCCTTTCTAAAAAAAACTCACCAAGTGAAAACGTGGAGATGTGAACATGTCCCATAGGAAATCATGTTAAATGGATTTCTGTGCATTTCTGCAAAACGCTGCAAAAAATGCTTAGGTGTAAACCTAGGGTCAAGGACACCTAGGGTCAAGGACATATATATATATATATATATATATATATATATATATAATGATAACGTTTTTACTAAATGCCAGGAAAACTGGTTATTTTGATTAACAACCCAAATTCCCCTAAAGATATCTGATCTAATGACTGCTCAAAGTGGAAAATGTAAAATCACCTGCCACCAAAGTAAAGAGGTTTTTCCCTACCCAGACTTGCTTCTGTGTGTTTTCTCACTGTTATCTGATCAATCTGACCATACTTTGACTCTGTTCTTTATGTGGTTCGAGTTACTGTATGTCTTTGATAGATACAACTGACAGCAAATGAGCACACAGAGCTATATAGGAAGTGTGGGACAGGGTTTTCCAAACTGCTTATTAAGCAGACACCAACAATAGAAAATCACACTCATTTATATATCTCTCCGATACGACTAATCATTTTTTGCATAGCACCTGCTTTACAAATAATTGTCAAAAAGTATTACAAAATCACAGATTTACCAATACTGTAACACACCGTATGCAGCTGAGGGGCAGCTACCAATCCATCTTCAGATGCATCTGCTATTTTCGGTGAAGGGTCACCAAGCATAGTGTACAGCTCTCCATCCTTTGAAGCCTTGTTAATCTCAGCCACCTGATACATGGATACATAATATACAAAAGTAAGTAAACTGTAATAATCCTGTACCGCTGCCAAAGGCAACCCAGTCAAAGATGTTGCTTAATTAAGTGGACCTTTAAGTCTGCATGAATACATTTTGACATGTCACGATATACAATAACAATTACTTTTTAATAATAAAAGTTTCACCTTTCATCAGTAAAAAGTAATCTTTGAGCTCCAGTTGGTGACTATGGCTAGGCAAAGTAGGAGGAAGCATTTTCTCAGTCTCCTTTTCCCCAGTAATCAAATAACAACAAAGGCTGCAGCAGGGGATGGATCTATGTGAGACATTTGTGAGCACAGCCACGATCCACACAGGAATCAGAGTTTGCATGACTATATTATATTTGAGCCAGCATCTGAATTCATGAAGAAGATGCTGAATCTGGATGATGCCTGAAAAAAGATGTGCCATCCTTCTGGAGAAAAGCATATGAAAGCATTGTCAGGGGTAGAGCTATGATCTCTGTGATATGTAATACTGTATATATACAGTGCATCCAGAAAGTATTCGCAGCGCTTAACTTTTGCCACATTTTGTTATGTTACAGCCTTATTCCAAAAAGGATTAAATTTAACCAGCCACCTGACCAATACCATCCCTACAGTGACACACTACTGCGCATGCGCCAATGGCGGGTGGCCATTTTGGAAATTGGAAAATTTGGATTTTTTTGCCAATCAATGCCTAAAGATCTTTGCTTACATGACATCATACCTATTTTGGCCACTGGAGGGAGTTCCTCGTCCATTATTCACCGAGTCTAAAGAGGATCTCTGGATCTGGATGCTGTCCACTTTACCAAGATCGCCTGCTCCCGGATACCCACTGTACCCGCTTGATGAGTGATTTCCAGGGGTCATACTACTTATGCGCTTTTATATAGCGCGTCCGGTGAGTGCGCAATTTTACCGTTTGATCCTGGGCTTACTAGTTTCTATGCAAGATCCTGCGTTTTTTTGCCTGGACATTATCACTTATTCATCTTAATTATTGGTCACTATTTCTGTTATACATCATAGTGTGCTTTCAGATCATCTGAGACATACATGGGTTTATAGATCCTATGTCATATCTATCAGCGCAATACCCCATAATAACAACGTGTAAGAAGCTCGTTTTGAAATCTTTGCAATTTATTAAAAATAAAAAATGAAAAAAAAACCACATGTACATAAGTATTCACAGTCTTTGCTCAATACTTTGTTGAAGCCCCTTTAGCACCAATTACAGCATCAAGTCGTTTCGAGTATTATGCTACAAACTTGGCACACCTATTTTTGGGCAATTTCTCCCATTCTTCTTTGCAGTACCTCAAGCTCCATCAGGTTGGGTGGGGAGCGTCAGTGCACAGCCATTTTCAGATCTCTCCAGAGATGTTCAATGGGGTTCAAGTCTGGGCTTTGGCTGGGCCACTCCAGAACATTCACAGAGTTGGCCCGTAGCCACTCCTTTGTTATGTGGGATGTGTGCTTAGGGTCATTGTCCTGTTGAAAGATGAACCGTCTCCCCAGTCTAAGGTACAGGGGCGCTCTGGAACAGGTTTTCATCAAGGATGTCTCTGTACATTACTGCATTCATCTTTCCTTCAATCCTGACTAGTCTCCCAGTTCCTGCCGCTGAAAAACATCCCCACAGCATGATGCTACCACCACCATGCTTCACTGTAGGGATGGTATTGGTCAGGTGGCTGGTTTCCTCCAAACATGACGCTGGGCATTGAGGCCAAAGAGTTCAATCTTTGTTTCATCAGACCAGAGAGTTTTGTTTCTCATGGTCTGAGTGTCCCTCAGGTGCCTTTTGGCAAACTCCAGGCAGGCTGCCATCTGCCTTTTTACTGAGGAGTGGCTTCCGTCTGGCCACTCTACCATGCAGGCCTGATTGGTGGAGTGCTGAAGAGATAGTTGTTCTTCTGGAAGGTTTCTCCTCTCTCCACAGAGAAATGCTTGAGCTCTTTCAGAGTGACCCTCAGGTACTTGGTTACCTCCCTGGCTAAGGCCCTTCTCCCTCGATCGCTCATTTTGGACAGGTGGCCCGCTCTAGGGAGATTCCTGGTGGTTCCAAACTTCTTCCATGTATGGATGATGGAGATCACTGTGCTCATTGGGACCTTCAATGCTGCAGAAATTTTTCTGTACCCTTCCCCAGATTTGTGCCTTGATACAATCCTGTCTCTGAAGTCTACGGACAACTCCTTGGACTTCATAGATTGGGTTTGTACTCCGACATGCACTGTTAACTGTGGGACCTTATATAGACAGGTTTATGCCTTTCCTAATCATGTCCAATCAACTGAATTTCCCACAGGTGGACTCCAATCAAGTTGTGGAAACATCTCAAGGACGATCAGAGAGAACAGGATGTACCAGAGCTCAATTTTGAGTGTCATGGCAAAGGCTGTGAATACTTATGTACATGCGTTTTTTTATTTTTAATAAATTGCAAAGATTGCAAAACAAACTTCTTTCACGTAGTCATTATGGGGTATTGTCTGTAGAATATTGAGAAAAAAATGAATTTAATCCATTTTGGAATAAGGCTGTAACATAACAAAATGTGGAAAAAGTTAGGCGCTGTGAATACTTTCTGGATGCACTGAACATGCAAGTGTTACACCTACACATTACTAAACATTCATGGTTTTGACATGAACAGACCTGATGCTAGGCTTACAACTATTAAAATACTTTATCTGAGACTTCAATATACAAAATCCATTCACTTTTTTGCCAAAGCATTTGCAAGTGAAAAGCTCATTTCTACCCCTGATTATTTCATTCCCTGCCATTACCTTTTTCAGCACTGCTGCTTTATAGAGGTTTGACATTTTGCTGTTTCGAAAAAACCTCATATTCTAGGTCCACTGCAGATGAAACTGCATCTATCCTGGAATGAGAATATTTATATGAAAAGAAAATGCTGGAAATGAAAAGCAAAAAGGACATAGTTAAACCAATGATTACCATCCATGCATTTCCACAGAAGTGGTCATAAAGTTTCCACTTGAACCACTAGGCTTCATTTAAAATTCTGCTCAGCTGGTCTAGAACGTAAAAGGTTGGCCACACACGCACGCACGCACACACACATACACACGCACACACACACAGAAGATGTAGCACACTGGGAAAACTGGCCAATCAAGACCATACATCTTACCTATACTGGCTGTCAGTCATTTGAACATTTTTGCTCAGTGCTTCTTCCAGCATCTTAAGGCAGTGCTCCCTAGCCTAAAATCAGAACAAGTACCAGTGAACCAAAGCAAATATTCTTACTTTCAGAACCTATATTCACATTTTCCATATATAAATGCGTTTTTGTGCTTAACCCCTTGTATACAAGGCCGGATCTAGCCTGTCTCACCCGGGGGTGCAGTAAAGAAAGCCAGGGGGCATACTGCCAACTGGTGCATGGGAGCTCCAGTGCATTCTCCCTGGCTGACAGCCTTGGAGCTTGTATTAGGCATCTGGGTCTGGGGCAGCAGTGACTGCTTTGCAAACTAAAAAAAAAAATATATACTTCTAATGTAATCTTACAAAGACAATGAACTAGGTAACATTAGCTAAGCAAAGAACACTAGAACATGCATACAGACGTCTTCTGTCTCTCCAAAGTCCACCCCCGCCCCCTTTTTTCTGTCCCTCCAAAGTCCAACCTACCATTTTTCTATCTCCTTAAAGTCCAGCTCCCCCCATTTTTGCCTCTCCAAAGTCTCTCCCCCCCACTTTCCTGTCTCCCCAATATCCAGTCCCCCTTCTACTTGTTTTTCTGTCTTTTCAAAGTCTAGCCCCCATATTTCTATCCCCACAAATTCCAGTACCTCCTATTCTTTCATTTTTCTGTCTCTCCAATGTCTGGGAACATCCCACCCTATTTTTTCTGTCTCTCCAAAGCACAGTCCCACATTTTTCTATCCCCCACCAGATTCCAGTTCCCCTCACCCAGTTTTTATGTCTGACCAATATCGAGCCTAACCCCCACCCCCTGTCTCCAGAGTCCAATCACCACTTGTCAACTTCCCCCTGAAAAGTAATCCAATATTGATTGCTCTCCACAGGGCACAGCACATGTGAAGGAGCCCTAATTCTAGTATTTTTATACCAAAAAAGGCTATAGATAGTTTCTTTGTTTCTGTGGCATTCCCTATAAATCCTTTTGTGTGCACAGTACATAGATGGCACAATCACTGACAAGGTTAGCACAGCACAATAGCCTGGTGTGTTTACCTGCAATACACCATTTGGAGGGAGGGGGTCCTCTGCTTTGATTAATCTGTTTCTAGATCTGTGTATAGCAGGAAAAGTAGGAGAGGAGGGAGTTTGTTTCACAATCCTAGTGTCAATGCAGAGTGCTGGGGGGAGCCTGCTGTGTAAACACATGGCAGCACAGGAAAGTAGATCCCGACTGCTGTTGTTATTGCTGCTAGGGAGGCAGGCAGGCAATGTTAATGGCTATGTCATGAACAGCAAAATCAGCAGGAAGAACTGCCCTGGGTGCACTTCTGTAACTATGTTCACAAGTCCAACCAGAATAACCCCAGCTCTACTCCTCCATTTCCTCCTCTAGCATCTCTCTCTGTAACCTGTCACAAATGTTCACTAACTGTCGGCATTCATAGGCATGGACACTGCTGCCAGCACAGTAAGCAGAGCTCCTCCTCACACAACAGGTTGATAATGAGCGGGTCAACAACCTACATTTAGAGTGGAGCCTACACTGTGAGAAGTGCAGTTGTAATTGCCGGATTTGCGCTGAGGCTCGGGAGAAGTTTGAGCAGGTTGTACCTGGGAGGACTTTGGGAGCCCTGTGTGGCAATGCAGGAAGGAGGAGCTCAGAGCACTGAATGCAGTATCATTAGCAGCCGGGGGGGGCACGCTACTGAAATATGGGGGGGCACAGCACACCCCAGCACCCCCTGACCTTGCTTGTATACCGAAGTACATTTATAAGCATCCTGAAATTCAAGGGGTTAAAGAATAAGTTCACCATTTGTACTATGTTACACCAATAGCCGTGTGTGATAGTCTAGGAGGGGTGTGTGCCTTTTAATGTGGTCCTTTAATATGTTCTTCATTTGATAAGAAGGGCCTATAAGCAGACTCTGAGGAGTGGGATACAGGGAGGGAAGACACTGTATTCCCCATATACGTATATGCAACAATAAGTATAATTCGGAGCCTTATCTCGTTTGCAGGTAATTATTCAAGTTTCCTTTAAAATAGAGGAACTTGAGCAGGAGTACTATCCTCCCTACACATCTTTAAAACAAGGTAATGGCTGCTACTGCAGCCATGAGCTTGGTATTGTTTTTTTAAGCAGGCAATCAACTTTCATGTAAAAGTGATCTAAGCGGCTGTAGAGGTGGTTCACAGACTCTCCTGTTCCTCTGGGAAACTCTAAACCGCAGTAATATGCTCCAATTCATTGTTAGATAGGAGATCAAGGAACATCCGATCTCTGATCTCCTCTGCAATGATGAAACCCCAAAATGACGAGTATTAAGTCACATCCAGTTTTACAGCAGTCATGCCCTGGCTACTGTAGTCAGGGAAGCAGCTAACCAAACACAATATGTGCTTGCTTAGGTGCAGTGGAGAGCAGGGGAGATATTGGGGTACTAATAGATCCCTAATGTCTCCTTAATGAAAACCTGTCACCTGCCAATGCTATCACATTAGGGGGCGCACACATGTACAGTATGTATACAGCAACGAGTGAGGTATGGCTGTGAACGTTGCTCAATAATTCAAGGGCCATGCACTGATCACCCCCACACTTAAAAAACTCTCAGTGGACCCAACCAGCCTGAACAACGGTAGGCCCATCTCCTTGCTCCCAGTTACCTAGTTTAAGTCTAACATCTAGTCTCCAATCGTCTGAGCTCCTACCTCACTGACAGCAACCTTCTTGAACCTGCAATACTCCACAGAAACTGCCCTACTAAAAATCACTAACGACTTACTAACTACTAAAGCCAATGGCCACCACTCCATACTCATACCAGTACACCTTTCTGTTGCCTTTGATACCGCTGACCACCCATTCCTCCTCCACTTGCTCGGCTAGCAAGACTCTGCGCTTTCCTGGTTCTCCTCCTAATCTATTCAAAGTTTTCTTTTAGTATTGCCTACAACCCTGTCTCCTCCTCTCCACTTCCTCTTTCTGTTGGGGCCCCCCAAGGTTCTGTCCTTGGAACCCTTCTCTGCTCCATCTACACCCCCTCTGTTGGCCACCTGATAAACTCCCACATCTTCCAATACCATCTCTATGCTGATAACACCCAAGTCTATCTCTCTACTGCCCACCTCACCCCTTGAGTCTCCTCCCACACTACTAACTTACTAACTGACTTATCAGTATGGATGTCACACCACTTTCTCAAACTAAATCATTCTAAAACTGAGCTCATAATATTCCCCCCCACCTGTGCCCCCTCCCCTGACATCTCCATCAAGATCAAAAATACAACTATCAGTCTCTCCCCTTGTTCCAGGGTGCTAGGTGCCTGGACTCTGACCTGTTCTTTCAGCCTCAAATCCAATCACTGTCCAAATCTTGTAGACTTCACCTCTGTTACATCTCCAAAAATGCCCCTTTTCAACCAATGAAACTACTAAGCAACTCATTTGCTCTTTTGTTCTCTCTTGCCTTGACCATTGTAACTCCCTCCCAACATGCCTACCTCTATGCAGGTTATTACCCCGTCACTCTATCATGAATGCTGCTTCCAGACTCACTCGCCTTACAAACGCTCAGCATCCACCACTCTCTACCAATACCTCCACTTGCTTCCCATTGCCGAACCAATTAAATTCAAAATACTAACTACAACTTTGCCCCAGATGCAGATTTTAACGTGTGAAAAAAAATTACAAAAATTGCCTTGGAAAACATGTAGTTATTGTCTCCTTTTTTCATCTTACCTTGACTGTAAGTTTAGGAATTTTAGCATTAGTTCCATCCCTAAGTGGACTGTCCTCACCTATAATAGGTAAAATATATAGAAAATTGTAAAAAAAAAACAAACTGTCCAACCAAAATCATCAAGGAAAATGTAAAACAATCAAAAGCATCATTTCAACTTAATGCTGGTCTTCACCAGGTGAATGAACGTCAAAACACTAGTTATAACCTACAGAAGACACTAAATTTATCTTTCCAACCTTAAATATAGTGCTATTAGACCTTGGACATGCAAAAGCCTTCTTCACTAAGAAGTGCAACATCAACTTATACATTTAGATAAGCATGCATATTCATGTCAATAGAAAGAGTAAGGTATTGGGTGAAAGTGGTGGTGGTGCATTATCTGTAGGGAACTATAGCACTTGGAAAAGGTTTTCTAATTTGTCTGATGGATGACCACAGAATGGTCACCTGGGGTTGTTCAAAGCTACAGACATTAGTCTCATGATCTGGTTGAATATAGATGAATAGGGAGGTGAGTGCCTCATTTTAAAGAACAGATCTATCCAATGGTGTCAGTGAAACAAGTCAAATTATGTCTTCCACCTTACTTAAGATCTTAGCAGCATGCTGAAATGCTGAGCCAGCTGCTAGTCAGACATCTGGGTGGATTCTGACATTAAAATTGTATCCCTGCAGAGCCTGGACCGATTGACTGACGTCAGAAAACAGAGGACTTTAGCCCTCTGTTGGTTGAACCTGGGTCACAGGTGAGAGGTTGGAAGTGCATCCTGTGACCCACAGAAGTATGCCCAGAAGAGCTTTGGCCATACTTCTCCTTTAAAGTGGTTCTGAAGGCCCCAATGACTTTTACGTTCTTGCATTCTATGGATGCGGGTAGAAAAAACCTTCTGTGTGTAGCA